AGAAGTGCTTAGGTCAGCATGCCACCAAGTCTGGAGGGTAAAGGAATTAAATCCCTTTATAGTCAATGGGCACTCTGGAAGTGATGTCTGAGTGACACGTGACACCCAATTTCTGTACATGAAATATTACTACAATCTACCTGGACCTATGATTGCTCATACATAAAACTTGTATGTTACAGGGACTGTACTTCCACGATTTGCCCATTGTTCTCACCAGTCAGTCCCAGGAATGCCTAAGTAGCATCCATAAGTGCTCCCTTAGCCTGGGATACAAATGAGTCCAGAATCTTTATGTACTTGGATGAACTCCTTGGAGAATGAAAGGTAATTTCCCTGTTCTGTCGATAAATACGCCCCTTGATGACTCCAGAGAGCACTTAATAATTCCACTACCAGCAGTCATCCCATATGCAGCTCAGTCCTCAGGGAAGACTTCAAGCTATGTCAGGCTGGCCTTCAGCCAGCCAGTGAGCAACACCACAACTGAATAGCAACATGGGAGGGTAACCTTCCCCCTGGATATCCACCACTCCAGAGGACCTCATCCCTAAGTCACGTGGACCTATAGCTGAGGAAGATACCATCTCAGACAACATTTTCTCAGTGTAACATTTTGCCACTGGAGAGATGCCTACACCTCCTACACCAGAGATGATACCCCAGGGACATATCACCACGTCAAAGACCTTAGCACTCACTTATACAGCCTCACTCCCCACTTGACAGCAAACTTAGCAGAATGCCACAGTGGGAACTAATACTTTCTGGGAAAAGTGGACTAAATATACTACCCTGATGGAATATTATATTGCAGAATTTGCCAGATGCTTGCTGGCTAACCCTTATCCTATATTAAGAGGCCTGTCAGACTGTGACCCTGTCCCCTGCCAACTACAGGACGGCATTGTGTCACATTTCCCCATTGCAGCAGACCAAAATGTGTACCTGAGAACTCCACAGCTCCCCTGCCTACAAATACTACAGGCTGTTAATGTTCTCACCATTAGCATCACAGGGTTGATTGTACTGTAAGCATATGATTTTTTTTTTTTACTATAGTACAAGTGTCTGATATTAAGCTTTTGATTGCCAAGGAATCTACTTCAAAGAGAGCTATCTTGAATAAACATACTACCAGCTACAAAATTAGATCAAGAGCCAGGCTTCCCCACACCTGAAGTTTCCTTTGTTTTCAAGATCTCCAATTAACTTAGATAACTGACCATTTGACGACTTATGTTTCCCTTCCTGCATTTTAATTCCCATCCTTATGTTTTAAATTCACCAATAAAGAGCGAATCCATGAAATTCCAGGAACCCCACCCTAGACCCCACTAAGGGCAGAACCCCGGGCACATGTGCACACACTCTTGCTTGTTTTCTCTCTCCCCTCCCACCCACAATCTTGCTGTGTGTCCTTAAGCATGCCACACACCCTCCAGGAACTGAGAGTAATAAACTGTTTTTTTCTCAAAGTCCCATAATGGCCATTGCTGAGGTCCATCTTGCTATCATAACAAGAACCACAGGGGACAGTCCAGACACAACAATGGCCCTGAAAGGGACAGTGTCTCTGCGGGCTCACCACAAGTAGTAATAGCCCGGATGAGTGCCCCAAGAATTTCTAGGCAATAGCATCACTATCAATAGGCTGAAACCCACAGAAAACAGTAGAGCAGCCCACACCAAGAATTCTGCTGTTCGCCTGCCCCCTGTAACAGACCTCCCACACTCGTCCTTGGGTGAAACTGGTTATCTGATAAGCAGAAGTGGTCTCTGAAGCCACTGCTAGACTAGAAGTCTCCACAAGAGAGTCACAATCTCTGGCCACATGTGACAGAGGAATTGTTTGAACTCCTTCTAGAATAAAAAGTACACCTGAGGTACTGGAGTTTTAAACCCCACATCTTCAATCATAAAATAACCATCAGGAGAACATTGAAGACCAGTGGTGATCTGCATTTCTTTGTGTATGAGTACAACAAATAGGCGTGAGTCTATTGCTGACCACTCACTGCAGACCATGAACCCTGGAAGTTATCTGACATTCCACCCCACTCCTCACCCCCAAATCAAAAGTCTAGTGCAAAGAGTTAGGGTCCGCATTTGAGAACTGTTGTTTTAGTTAAGACAAAGAAGTCTATATAATAAGCAAGCACTTATTTAGGACTTCTGTGAACCAAAATGTTCACAGATAGAACGGGGAGCTAATCTTTACAAGACCTCACAGAATACAATTTGGTTGGAAATAAGCATAAAGAAATATCAGTAGTTATCTGGAGAACTGACCCAGCAACGATTGGGAGAGAGAGAAGTGCTGAATAACTTTCTGGAAAACTTATTTTAATCCTATGAAAAAAGGCAATCCAAGTACCTCTTCTATTGGTTACCCACATTGATAAAAAAACGAGAGACCACAACCTCATTGGGAAATGTCGCCCATAAAAAGACAGCAAAATGTAAATCAAAAACAACTCAAAGGAGGGAGGGGTGCAGTAGCCAGCCCATCTGAAGAGTGACGCAGCACCTACACTCCCTCATCTCAGTCACACTCAAAGAGGCTTGGCAGCCCACTCAGGAGAAGTTTTGTTCAATTTCAAATGGTGGCCCTTTGTGATTTTCAAAAATTTACTCAACTCATTTCTGAGTAGACACTGAGGAAGGACAGATTGTTGTGTGTCGTTGAGTAGGAGGAACTTAGCCTTGAAGTTGAGCACTGTGCCAGGAAAGCTGGGGAGGTGGGTACCGTGCTGCTGCAGAGTCCTCACAGCTATTTGCTGTTGTGTCTGCACCTCTGGTTCTCACAGAACTTAAAAGCTGGGAGAGGCCTCAAGGAATTATGTGACCCAGTGTCCTATTTGTACCCCATTTCATCAAAGAGGAGATTGAGGTCACTAGGGGTGTAGTTGAGAGTCAGACCTGACTTTAATCCACCTTCCCACCTTGGGCAAGTAATTTATTTTCTCCACTTCAGTTTCCTCAAATGACAGGTGATTAAAACAACAGCTATCTCGCAGAATTAGGAGGGTTAGTGACATACAGAAATCACCCAGTCTGGTAAGGACTCGTTAAGTCTTTCATTTATTATCTGGTAGCAGAACTAGGACTGGCTCCCTGGTCAACTTTACCACTTGTGGCTCACTGTGGCTGGGCTCCTGAGCCCTGGGCTTCACAGAGAGCTTTGCCAGACAACTCTGCCTAATGGTATTTGGCATCTTGTATTTGGGAACTGAAGCTGTTTCCCATTCCCCACAGATGTCACAAATAGGCCGTCCCTCTGCTTCTGGGGCTCACCTGTGTTGCTCCTTCCCACCTATACTCTTTCCCAAAGGTGAAGAACTGCTCAGAGAATTATGTGCTCAGTGTCTGGCATGCTGTATGATGAGGGAGACAGAAACAGATGTGGGATTCACTCTAAGTGTATGGACCTTACAGTCCAATATGGAAGACTAAATAGCACTATGCCCTGTACCATGTTCTTAACCCTGGTACTGATTCTGGAATAGCATCCTTATTTTGGGGGGAACTACCCCAAACAACGCATACTCCAATTTTGTGTGTCCAGTGGATGCCCCCCGGTTCTTACATGACCCACATCTCCTTCACAAATCTGGACTGGCTCAGGGGACAGCCAGTAATGCTTCCTGACCCTCATGCCTTCTGTTGTTGGTTTAAGCTCAGGCACTTCATGACCAGCCTGATTTTGTTCTCCAGGAGTGAGGAAAGCAGAAAAACTTATTCCTCACTCTCCATATGTCTTTCAGGGATTTTTTATTCCATTCTCCATGAAGGAAAAAAAAAGGGAGCAAAAGAAATACAGCATAATTATTTGGTTATAATTTTCTTCTTTGGTATCTGCATTTCTACCAAGAGAAAATAATAAGGGGTCGGGAAGGGGTTAACCTGTACTGGTCCAGAACTTCCTTTCACGGGGTAAATAGTCAGGGTAGGCTAACTACTGTAACAAACATGTGAGTCTTACTGATTTAACACATTAATTTTTTTCTTTTTGTTCTTACCGAGCTCTACTACACACTGGCGGTACAGGTAATGGTGGATTATTGTCCTTATACCATCGAAAGATTCCAGAAAGGAAACCATATTAGAAACAGAACACAACAGAAGGGAAGTGAAGCAGATGGAGACATCTTCCTGGAAGAGAGATACAAAGAAGTCTTTCAATATCAGAAAAATGCCAATTTTTTTGGAATTTGGGATGATGCAGACCTTATCTGCAAATTCCATGCCATGGGTATCAAAGACAAAATACTGCTCCCTAATTGATATGCTGTGCCCTCCCAGAAGATAAGTCTGTGAGTGAACTGGACATCACAATTGTAGCTCAGATACAAACTAATCACGTAGGCTAATCAAATGTGCCCCTTATTCCTAAATGGGAATGCGCAAAGTATTAAGTATTATGCGAAAGTTAAAGAGAAGATCATGATGAACAAACAAATAAAGATATATATCCCAATAATCCAAATTAATATTCTCCAATTTTAAGGAAGAAGCTAGGTTTATAAGATGAGAACATGGTGCTATTAAAGGAAGTAACTAGAAAACAATAAAAAGTACTCGAAAATAGAAATATTGCCAAATTAAAAACTTATAGGCGGTCAGCACAAAGTCACTAGGCCTCAGCAGGCTCTGATGGAACCTGGAACACCAGGCTTCCGCCCCTCCATCCTCATCCTCGCCCCTCCCCCCAGGAAACGGCCTCCATCCCTACCCCCCTCCCCGCACCGAGTAACAGATCCCATTTCCGGTGCCTTCTCAGATCCGGTCCAGCAGACGTCCCTCTCTCAGATTCCAGGAGGGGACTCTCGGACGTCTCATTGCGTCCGCCATAGATTGCGACTCCTGCCGCCCAGGTCACCCACCGCGGGGACACTCCGAGGGCCCACAGCCTCCACCATCGACCCCACTGCTGCTCCACTGCCGCTCCTGCTTCCGCGCCGCCTCAGTCTTGCTGCCCTGTGCCTGCACCTCCAGACATGGCGACCCCGCCTGCGGCCTCCTTTGTGCGTCAGAACTACCACCCTGAGTGTGAGGCCTACGTCAACACCCACATCACCCTGCAGCTCTACGCCTCCTACGTGTACACGTCCATGGCGTCCTATTTCGATGGCACGTCGTGCAAGCACTTGGTTGAGTTCCTCCTGCAGCAGTCAAGTAAGGAGAGGGCGCTTGCGGAGAGGCTGATGCAGCTGCAGAACCAGCGCGGGGGCCAAATCCACCTGCGGGACATCAGCAGGCCTGACCGCAACAACTGGGAGAGTGGCCTGAGGGCCCTGGAGTGTGCCTTGCACCTGTCCATCGTGGTAAACCAGAGCCTGCTTGATCTGCACCAGCTGGCCACCCAGAAGGGGGACGGCCACCTGGGCGATTTCCTGGAGAGTCACTACCTGCACCAACAGGTGATGTTCATCAAAGAGTTGGGGGACCATGTCACTCAGCTGCGCAAGATGGGAGCTCCGGAATCCGGCCTGGCAGAGTACCTCTTTGACAAGCTCACCCTGGGTGGCAGCAAGAAGAACTGACCCTGGACTGCCTTCCCGATTGCCTCGGGGTGACCTCCCCTGATCACCGTGCTGAGTGTGCCTATTGCCATATTGCCCTTCAAAACGTTCGTTTCAGCTTTTATGTTCCAGTTTTACCGTTTCTTCCAATAAAGTTATTGTTGCAAAACCTTCGCCTTTTAAGTATTTTTTAAAAGATTTTATTTATTTATTTTTAGAGGGGGAGGGGAAGGGAAGGAGAGAGGGAGAGAAACATTGATGTGTGGTTGCCTCTTACGCATCCCCTGCTGGGAACTGGCCTGCAACCCAGGCGTGTGCGTTGACTGGGAATCGAACTGCGGTTGTTTGGTTCTCAGGCTTGCACTCAATCCACTGAGCTACACCAGCCAGAATCGCCTTTTAAGTTTTAAAACAGGTATGCAGGATTCTCTCCAGCAGGATTCGCTCCGCCCCCCCCCCCACACACACACACTTCAATGCCTCAATCAAGTGCAACTCGGTATCTCCAAGGATGGAGGGAAGAGGTATTTTCTGGACCCTGGATGGAAGGAGGGGGTTTTCCATGGACCCTGGATAGAAGGAGGAGATATTCTGTGGACCCTGGATGGAGGGATGAGGTATTCTGTGGGACCCTGGAAAATGCAGAATTAATCTTCCTATTATAAACAATGTGGTATATGGGGGTAGGTGAGGCAGGGTCCTGGTGAAGGTGAGTACCTGTGCATGGTAAAAGTATAAAAGTCAACAGTAAAAATAAAATACATAAGTAAGTGGAGTGGAAAAATGGGAGGAAGTATGCATAGAATCACGGCCTGAAAATCAGGGTTGCAGTTGCCTCTGGAGAAGAATTGAAGGGAACTGAACTGGGCAGAGATTGACATGAAAGGGCTCTTTCCTTTGTTGCAATGTTGATGGTTCATTCCAGTAGCTAGTTGGGGGCCTTGGACAAGCTCACCCTGGGCCACTGTGATAATGCCTCTGAATGCTGGGCTGGCTTTCCTGTAGACATGGGGTGAGTTCCTATAGTCACCCATGCTGGGCAAGCAGGCTGCCCTTACAGTACAGGCAGGTGTGATTTCTCTTGCTTAAAGCAACATGGTACCCGGAAATTTCCCTCTGTGCGAGGCCTGAAAAGTATAAAATCATGACTGGAGGTCAATTTCTGATATTAAATATTCAACAGAATAGATGCCACCGAGTGTTAGGTCGGTGACTGCTTGTTTTTGAAGAGTGTACAGGGCAGGCAGGGGAGAGTTGAAGCTGGGAGGCCAGCTGGGACACACTGCAGCTTGTTCTGGTGAGAGACAAGTGGGCTTGGACTAAAGAGGAGGTTAAAGAAAGGAAGACACGGGCAAATTCTACTGGATTTGGATGAATCAAGATTTACTTATGGACCAGAAGCAAGTAATGACAAGTGACAACAATAATGTAGTCTCTAGTGTTTGAAGTCAATTGCCTGGGTTGAAGGTGTTGCTATCTATTAATCGGGGGCACACCTGCAGGGAGACACAAGGGGTGGGGAAGGCCTGTTACGCTGAATCTGAGATGCCCATCAGACGTCCCAATGGAAATGTCATGCAAGTAAATGAATAGAGCTCAGGTTGGAGGTCAGGGTTGGAAATACACACAGGGAGACATCAGTTGTAGATGCCTTTGAGGCCATGGGACTGGATAAGCTCAATACATAGTATAGAGAGAGAGTATGGCCCAGCCAGCCCCAAGTGCAGGACAGCTAACACTAGGGATTGGGTTGAAGTATTGGAACGGCCAGGCAGCTCCTGGTCCCACTGGGACCATGACGTCCTTCCAGACTGTGGCCACTTGTGTCTCCTCAGAGTCTATCTCAGAATCAGCCTGTTCCTAACCTCAACGTGGCCTCTGCTTTCTTCCTGCATGATGGAGAGAGGAGTTAGTCTGTTACCTTGACTTCACGGCTGTGGGTGGGTAGGAAGAAATTATTCCCCAGTTAAAAACAAAAGATTTTGCAAAGAAATGATAGATGTTTGTTTCTCATGTTCCCTTTTAAAAACTCCGCCTCCCTCTCAGTACACTGTCTGTGACCATATGAAATCTGTACCCACGTTAAACCCTAAGGTTGTCCCTGCCTGCAAAAAAATTAAAATAAAAAATAAATAAATAAATAAAAATAAAAAATAAAACACGTTTCTTCTGTGCCTGGTGTGGTTACAAAGATAAAAGTTTAAAATTGCAGATTTGCATACCTCATCAATATCACATGGCTAGCTTGAGTCTTTTTAAAGTTTGCTGATTGCTTTGAACAGTTACTAATCTATACACGAGCTCACCTACACAGTAATTGCCTTTCTTGACCTTTATTGCCTGGGTTCAAATCCCAGTTTGGCCACTTTCTAAATTGTTAAATATAACTATAAAATTTGGTTGCCGAGAGGTTAAATGAGTCAATGCTAGACAGTGCTTACCATAGTGCCTAGCACATAGAGCAGACAGATGATTCGTAAGCTTCCCTTTACCACCATCATCATGGTCATCATCATCATCTCCTCACTTTGAGTTCCTTTGTGCTGTTCATGCTTTGGGGAGAGTTCATGTCTACACTTTGCCACTGGAGGTCTCCCTTGCATTTCAACCCACCATCACCCTGCATCTGGGGAAGGAAAATTCCTTCGTACTTGTCAGGTGCTGCCAGGACTCAGGAGGGTGGATGGCTGGCTGTTTCTGCTACCCCAAACTCAGGCCCAAGTCTAGAGGTGAGTTCCCTGTAGCAACTGTCTGTGTAATCCCCCATTTGTCTCTACCAGCCTTCCCTTTAAATCACTCCCTGGAACACTTTTTGCTTGTTTTCTGCCCACACCCAGGTGCCCGAGCCTCATCTTTCCATCCTGAATGACATTCCACTCCTCAGAGGTGGGAAGGAGTGAAAAGACGAAATACTAATCCTGACCCCACCATCACCTGGATGTTTGGACCTGAAAAGGAGAGGAATGGGTGGACTGAAAGCAGAGAATGAGCAAAAGGGCTACTGATAACATACAAATTGATAAATTGCCATGCACTTTCCAACAGATGTTCTCAAGCTTTGCTGTACATTAGTGCACCCTAGAAAGCTTTTAGAAGTCTCGATTCCTAGGCCACAATATCCCCGGAATTGAAAAGCCATGCAAAGCAAGTGCCTTGCTACCCAAAATGTGTTCTGTGGAGCAGCACTGGCAGTGTTATCTGAGAACTTGTTAGCAATGCAAAATCTCAAGCCTTATCCCAGACCTACTCAATCAGTGTCTATGTTTAAGAAGACTGAAGGTGGCGAATATGATGAACTGAGAAGTACTCTTTATTGCTGGGTGTGTGCTATAATGATAGTTAGTAGGTGAGACAGAGTTCATATGCCCCCCAAAGCCTAAAATATCTATTATTTTATCTTTTTCTGAAATGTTTGCTGCCACTTGTCTATTGTAACATGCCCTTAAATTTACCTAAACTGCCAAATAGCTTTAACATTTCAATTGTTTTCACATGTTCAATATGCTTGTTGTAGTTTTACTGTCCACTTCCCTACCACCACAATGCTTTGACAGAAAGGAAGGCAATTCCTTTAATTAATTTAGGCTAAGATACTAATGGCTTAATTCATTTTCTCAGCAAAAATAAGTATGGCTGACTATCGAGCACTAATCCCACAGTCATCTTACCCCCCGTTACTTACTAAGAGAACACTACATTTCTTGGAGTGACAATCTGTTCAGTTCCTTGGCACAAAACAGAATTAGTCTGAATCAATCATGAAAGATTTTCTCAAACAATGTATTCAGGATGTTTGTTTTGGTAGTTTCTCCTGCTGATAGGGTTGATGATATGACTGGGTTTTGAGTTAAGTTGTAAATAAAAATACCCTGGATTTCTGATAAAATTTTACTTGCCTGACAAAGTAATGAGCTTTGTGAAGAGAAATCATTTTGTTCCTATTCTTGTCATTCTGGTTGCGATTTTGGTGTGAGGGCGTGATGCCAGGTACAAGGGCAGCCACTATATAACCGTGAGGACAGGGCCAAGAGAATTGAAGGACCCAGTGTAGAGACCTGTTGTAATTGCACCAGAAGCATGAACTATGAGGTTTCTTCCCCATCCCACTTCCAGCTTCTTGATAAATAAATATAGTGAAACTAATTGCTTAAGTGTCTTTGTGGACATTCAGTTGGTTATGGTTCTTATATGTAACAGATGTAAGAAGACTATAAGGAGATTTTTAAAACAATTTTATTTATTTATCTTTAGAGGGGAAGGGAAGGAGAGAGGGAGGGAAATATCAATGTGCAGTTGCCTCTTCTGTGTCCCCTGCTGTGAACTGGCCTTCAACCCAGGCATGTGCCCTGACTGGGAAATGAACCGCGGCTGTTTGGTTCACAGGCCCGCACTCAGTCCATTGAACTACACCCGCCAGGGATGGTAGGTAGAAAATAGATAGGGGGAGGGCAAGAATAATATGGGAAATACAGAATCTAAAGAACTTGAGACACGTGGTCATAAACTAAAGGGGAGAATGGTGGGGGAGGGGGGTGCAGGGTGGAGGGGAATGAAGGGGGGAGAGAACAACTGTAATGGCATAATCAATAAAATTAAAAAAAAAAGAAGACTATAAGGAGAAGGCATTTTTCAACACCATACTGGAAATATCAGTAGGAACACTTTGCAAAATATAGGATTGTCTAACCACCATGGTGTACACCTGAAACTAATATAAAATTCTATTGACTGTAAACTGTAATTGAAAAATGTTTAATTAAAAGCAGTAAATTTATCCATTCCCCCAGCTTTTTAAATACCCAGTATTTGCCAAATGCATGCATATGTGAGGAATGGTTTCTGGTGCTTTCCAGACATTTTGTGTGGGTCACTCTAACAACAATACACACATCCCCTGTGAAATACACACATCCCCTATTTTACTTCTAAGAAAACGGTTTCAGAGTAGTGTCACTGTCTGGAACTACACAGCCAGTAAGTGATGGAGTCAGAATCATTTGGTTTCAGAGGAAGTGATGTCT